GTATTTCTCAATGTGAAGTTCTCATTTAGAAGTTTCATTGCCCGATTCTGTAGTGTATATTAGTGGGTGGCATGGCTCAAAATCACAATGATGCAAATCTTCCCCCATATCTTGAGTTTTTAATTCTCTGATACTTATGTCTCGAATCATATTGTTAATGTCGAGGTTTTCCTATTACCATTGACTATTTCATCTCACTGTGTTGATATAGTGTGTCAACTTGGACCGACAAATTTGTGTGACAGCTTCTGCATTGTTTATAATTGATTGGCTAAACAATATCCTAATTGAGAATTGATGCTCATATTAAGAACACCCTATCATATTGAACTGCTGCCACATTTCTTAGTAAATGGATTAAAGTATCAAATATACTCATTACTTTAATAGTTTTCGTTTTGACAATAACTCTTTTACACTTATTTCATGATGTGTTTACTTATGATTGAGTGCAAAGTATACTTCCCAAGTTTTCGAACCACTCCAGTTTGCAGATTTATTCCGACTAACACAGATCAAACCAAACGTTATTAGTATCACATTTGCTGCATTTCAGTTTCTCTATTTTAGAATTTCTAGGTCTACTTCAATTAACTATTCATGTTTTAGACAGTTTCTTACTTCTCTTTATGCATGAAATTAGTGAATTACTGACAAAACCAGTCGGCTTCCAACGGGTTGCTGCAGATTCAAACTTCACTGTACCTCGGGTTTGAGCCACTGGGTGGTATCACTTTCACAAAGCGAGGTACATAAACTCGCACTGGATAAATGAGTTGATTGAATCGGTTACCCTGGTTGTAACAAGTAAAATATTCCCACTAATCATCTTAGTTATACTGTCTAGAGATTTATATAACTTCAATATATTCACTCAAAGTTGCAGTACTTCAAGTACTTCTAGTTTTTTCGCCACATCTTCACTAAGAAGAACCCTGCCTGATGTGTGTAGCGGAAGCGGAACGCTAGGGTTCTGATAGACATTTGATTATTTCTAAGGTAGTGCAAATATTTCAAGTGAAAGGATTACTAAAAGCTTTTTTATCTCCGTTGTGTAATTGGACACCAGGATAAAGTGAAACTCATACCTATGTGCATATTCTATTTACTTCAGCATTGTCTCCACTTAAATAGGTGATTTGTATGGTTTTATATCTCGGTTACCTTCCTAATTCTTGTTTACATTAGTTGAACCTGTAGTTCGCAAAACTGCATCGGCATTCGCTGATGAAGAGCAGGATGAGAAACCGAAAAAACATGGTCTTTCATGGCTGCCACCGTCAGCTTTAAAGGCTAACTCAATATCCAATCCTTCAAATGGAGGCGATTCAAACCAAAATGATTCAAACAACTTACCACCAGTTTCAGCATTGTCAACAGAAGAAAAAAAAGCAATTATCAAAAGAATTATTGAGGGGATACCAACTCACAAAAGGGAATTATTTGCTTATCCTATTGACTGGGATATGGTTGATGCCGTAAGTGTTGTGTGTTTTTGTACACCGTCTACAAATCTATCAATTCTGTTAAGTATTGTGAATTAGTAGCAATCAATTCGGTGCTATATTTCAATTCTTTGAATATAGGGTAATATTGTTTTGAACAACAAATATGTTATTGTTTCTTTTATTTGTGTGCTTTAAATAAGTGTCACATTAAATTTCAGTACAGCTCACTTATTGAATGCTGTTCTGTGCACTAAGTTCTTTGCCATTTTTTAATTAGGGTCAGTGATTACTAATCATATGCGAAGAAAGCTACCAAACAGTTGAAAGATACACACCATGCAATTCATATGGTATTACCGATAGGTGCTAGAAAGATATAGATTGAATTAAAGCACGCTCCGGGCAGGATTGTGCTGGGGAACGCTGATTGGCTACTTCCTAATCAATCAGCGTTAGCTGAGACTTACTTACGCCCGTTACCCCCTTGTTTGATGGCCATGTTGATTTCTTCGGTCGTTGGTGTAGTGACATCTATAGGAAGGTCTGTGTGTGCTGCTTCTTTGTCCAGTGGGTTCAATGTAGCTGGTCTCTTCAAAAGTTTCTCGTAGTGTTCTGCTCATTTGTACCTCTTCTTGAGTCTCGGTGACTATCTTTCCTTCTTTATTCTTGACTGGTCTCTCTTATTTCTTTATATTTCCCTTCCAGTTTCTTCGTTGTGTCACATAGTTGCCTCATATTTCCTTCTCTTGAAACTTTTCCCTCTGTCGTTGCTAGGTCTTTCACATATTCCTGCTTGTCGGCTCTAATGCTCTTCTTCACGTGCTTGTTTGCTTCTGTGTATTTATTTTGTACCTTGACTTTCTCTGTTTTTGTTCGCTTGTTGTTAATTGCTGTCTTCTTTTTCTCCCTTTCTTGAATCTCGTCCAGGGTTTCGATAGAGATCCATTCCTTATGATGACTTTCCTTGCAGCCCCGAACCTTTTGGCTTTTTGAAGTTCATGTTTCTCTGATCCGTTCCCAGTTGTTTCCTATATTAGTTTCCTGTCCTTTGAGTAGATCTTGTAGGGCTTGGAACCTGTTGTTGAGAGCTATCTTGAATTGTTTGAGTTTGTCGGTATGTCGAAGTAAGGTTGTATTGAACCTTTGTACTGTTGTTTGTCTAACACCATGCTCAACCCTCATCCTTTACTCAGTATTGGGACCGGCAGTAACTCTAGAGAAGCTAGAAGCGCAATTAGTGGAGACTTGGAGCAGACCATAATCTTATATGATAATTATAAATACACCAACGTTTTTCTTACTGTTTTTGTTCAACCGTGTTCCGATTCGGGAACTCGTCGAGTGAAGTAGTGTGTCGTCTTTTAAAAAAAATCATAACAAAGGTTCTCATATTTTCCACAAATTTACAGCAATATTGGATCAGTTCTGATGCGCTTTTCATGATATGAACATTAATTTATCCCTTCTTTTCATCCATCACCATAAATATTACAGTAAATAATTTTCCAAACAATTGTTTTCTTTCAGGATTTCGTCAATTCTCGAATAAAGCCTTGGGTAGATAAGAAGATTGTAAGTTATATCGGAGAAGCAGAAGCAACATTATCCAGTTTCATATGCGATCAACTGCTACATCACAATCCACCAGAACGTATTCTTGCTGACATTGCCATGGTAAGTATTACTCAAAAATTAGTTATAATATCTAACCTTTAACGTTACTTAGAAAACATTCATGTATCTATAAATCTATTCAGTTCCAGTGGTGGAACAGTTGCATCCATTCCGTGCTTCCTAAATATTAGACTGATTGTCATTGTGTCGTATAATTCACCACTAGATTTCTACTTCAGTTGTAGTTAATCCCTTTTATCTTTTGATTTATCCGTCCCATCTTTTACTATGCTGGTATTAGGTATTTAGCTTATAACGATTCCCGTTTGCATCAGATGTTGATGATAACTGATTCTTGAAAACCAGTTGCATTCTTGTCGTGTTTTCCTATTTTCTTAAGTAGTGAGGTGTTTATTGTAAGTGAATGTGATCTGTGTATTCCTATTCAAACTGTGTTGTTTGATTCACAAAATCCATATTACATGACTATCTATATTTTGTTATCCTCTGTGTGTTGCTTTTATAGTCGGATCTTTTTCTGTCTAGCGATAATCATATCTAAATGTCTTCTATGTTACTCAGACTACATAATGATTTAAGGTGTATATACTAATAAAACATATCTTAATTTAGAAGGTAGAAATCTTTGGTTTGTATTACATATTGAGAATAAACAATCTCGACACATATCTTAAAAATAAATAATAAAGTAACTAAATATATTAACCATTACATTCAGAGGTTGTTTAGCGATTATGTTTCAGCTATCGAGTCCGATTTATACTCATCAAGCTTTACTATCTCTGGTATCGAAAACTACCCATTAAAAAACAAATATATTGCTAGGAAGAAGTTAAACGTGATATATATATATATATATATATATATATATATATATATATAGTTTCTGTAGTTATATCAGATGTGTGAATATAAACAGGACTATAGAAACTAATTGCTTAAGATTTCGATCTCAAAATCCATCCCAAATATACGGAATACTTAATTTTTGTTCTGTGAAGCCACCGACTTCTTATTTTCGATTGGTTTTCACACTTTTTCCTTCGGTTTATCAATAACATTATTTCCAGTCGTTTCCATTTCCTCGCATCGTTATTCTCTTATTGTCCAATAACCTAAATAGGTGCATGCTTTTTGTGAATGTTTTTGCTTTATGTCTCATATAATTGATCACATTGTCACACATTAGGATACAGAATAAATATAGCCAGAAAATGGGAGAGTGCTACATATCGACCAATATTAAGTAATGCAATAAAAAGATAATTCACAACAATTCTCACTGATTGGCACTTAAATACAATTCGGTCTAAGTCAGAGTTATTGGGGTGTGAACTACCATATTTTTTGTCACCTTTGTTATGATTATAACTGACACTAACTTTTCAGAGCAGTTGCAAATTTAAAATAGTCGTCAAAGGATTACTTTGAAGAATCATTCTTAGATACATTTCGGCTTCGAGCTATATTAGACAAACAGATTATGGTTTCTCAAACTATGTCCAACCTATCATTTTAGTGCTGAACATTAATTAACTGCTAAGTGGGAATCTTTCTAGTTTTGTGAGTAATGTCGTTCATACAAACTTATCGACCTAGTTTTATGATAGAACAATCTTACAAAGGTTCACACCATTAGTGTTTGGTTACATCATATGTGGTCCATTGCAACGTCGATTGCATACGTATATTCAAATTATTATCATCATATCAAATGCATTTAATTATATGGCTTTAATGCTATTATGATTTGGTTTGTAATTTTTGTCTTCAGGTTTTAGATGAGGAGGCAGAAGTATTTGTTGTAAAAATGTGGCGTCTGTTAATATATGTGATTGCAGAGAAAAAAGCTGGACTTAGTGCTTAAATAACATACTCAGATGACTTACTTTTGTACAAATGTTTTTTATTCTGATTTGTATAAATAAATTGTATAAATTATCCAAGACTTTTCTTTTTCTTTTACGTTGCTTTTTGTATCCCCTAATAACTACTATAAATGTTCGAAATTCACTTTAGACGTACATATCATCCACAAATCTTCTTTGAATTTCAGGATAAGGTTTATCACTTTTGCGTTTTCTTTTGTTCTGCATTTGAATGCATGTGGATATTTATAAACCTTGAGAATTTCGTACCACTAGACAGTAGCATACAGTCATGCAGTGTAAAACCTAGTTTCATTTCTGTGTAACCACTTACATGTAGAATAGCAGAATAAAGCGAATTTAATAACTATCAGATTTGTGAATTTTGGCTTATGATGATCGCGTTTCTATACTGTAGGTCACTTATGCTCTTCTTGGTTCCCTGTTACGTGTCGAGATGATCACCACCATATTATTAGTATTTGGAGTATAAGTGTGCTGAAGATGGTACGCGGTGTTTTATTTTTCACTTGGAAAAACTGACTTACTCTAGGTTAATATTATTCTAACTTAGTTTCGGTTTTGCTGACTTCGGACGTAGTACGAATATGCTAGCAGTGTGGCTTATTGATTCGCATTTTTTAGACTAATTCTATCTGCATTGACGCTAAACATAGTTATTTGATTTTCGATTAATCCAGTTGAGATTGAAAAATTTAGACTGAAAGACACTAATCCTGATAGCATAAGATACTTTTCATTCTATAATACTGTCAACATTTGAACTTAACCGAATACTTTTATTGTCATTTTATGACTACTGGTTTAATATAATTTTTCGACGACTAAAATGTAGAACAAGTTAAAAACCGACGATTATAATTAGCAGTCACTCATGACATGTAGGCCAAAACGTTGGATCTTCATAAATCAGGATTTCTCATGTTTCTTGAGTCTGTTTCGCGGAATGGTTTGGGCAAAGACCACTAAATCCCACATAACCAACTCCGAAAGAAATATTTTATACTAAAATTTGAATACCAAAATTGTTTGCGACCTCAGATGGAAAATGTCTTCACAAGAGACACTTCAAATACACACTAATTTAACCTATTTTTTTCATTCAGACCAATATAAACTGCATGATTTCTAGCTGATCTGTTCACTAAATCCGTTACTTGACAGACTTTGGAACATTCCATGTTTTTCATCACTGTAGAGACTTTATATATACTCCAAGAAATCGACTGGTTTTTCTTAGCAACCCTGATTATTTATTGACATGGAAACGTATGTTTCGAGTTCATATGTATATTCAAGAGAGTTGGTTATTAAACAGCATTTAGTAGAATGGATTTGGCTTTTCAGATTTTTTGTTAGTTGTTATTGGTTTCAGAACATTCATGTATCAAATTATAGTCACTTCCCGATTTCACTGGAGGTATTTACAAATGCAAATTACCTATCAACCTAGTTTGTGTTCCGTTCTAACATTTATTATTAAGAACGTTGGAAGCTCTAATTCATGGGGTTATAACCCTTCTCTGACAGGTCTGGAAAGTCTAGCTTAGTGAAATAAGTTTGGGATTTCACAATCCATTTTGTTTTAACAACATAGAACCCTGGTTATCTGGATAACTTCCATACAAACACGATGTAATCTCTTAATTCATATCAATATTGCTTAGATGATTGTAATTAGTCGAAATTGGATTGTTGTCATCAGATCTCAAATAATTAATAATCAGCGAATCCGACCGGATAATACTAGGGGTTACCTAGAAACATAATTCCTTATTAGTACTGACACAATATGTATTATCATGTTGTTATTAGTAGCTATGATTCGTGTTATTTGAAGTAACAATTTGATATTGAAACTTTAAAATTTCCCGCAGATGGTTTTAATTATTTGTGACTTTGGATTGGGCGTAACTTTGGATTAACACTGAAGGACTGTTGTGCATTTATTCGACCTTTTGTGTTGTAGTATGGATATGATACAAACTGGTCTTTTTTTAATCCTCTGATAGCGCAAATTCAGTATCTCTAAAGATACGCAAAGTCCTTGCATTTGAAGATAAGCACCGTAGCATTGTCGTCTTAAAACCATACATATGTTTACAACACTATGTTTGCCATATTTCCTCACTTTATTGTTGGTCGGAGAATCACGTTTTGTGTTTCTTTTGATTACTCTTGTTGTTGCTGTTAGCAAACTATATGTTTCGCATTTTCGCGAAACTGAATACACCTGATTGATTTGCTCTTCCAGTAGCATTCAGATTATTTACATTCAAAAGTTTAATCTTAATCCAGTTTTTACGAAGTAATTTTGCATGTGTTTCTTGGCTTTCATTTCAGACCTCAGGAACTCCCGTGAGTGAATCGAATTCATGCTTGAATGAAGGCTTAACAATGCGACGAGGTTTAGTTGGACGTTTGTTTCTTCTTCTTCGGCCAATTCGTTCTCAGTTCAGTTACTGGATTATAAATCCAAAACCTTTCTGCCCATTAACAAACTGCAACAAATCATTTCGTGTTCCTGGCCTGTTTATTCTTATTGTTTTTGGGATACCAATTTCATTGTCGCTCGATTATTTAATTTTGCCCCTTTCTCTCTTAATTTCTGTTTTATTATTGTTACTTGCTTTATGGTTTTGTTTTCAGTACCTAGAACAGACAATAGTTTATGCTTGTGATGAACCACCGTCTTCGAAATTTTTATACATGAATCCATCATTTTTTGGATTTTCTACATGGGAATTGGTAAAATTATGTCCTAATGGCAACACTGGGCCAACAATTATTGGTTTCCTTCTTCTTCAGCCTGATTTATGTCGCAGAAAGTCTTGTCCAGTTGTGCTTCTTTTGCATGGAAATGCAGGAAACTCTACTACCCGGCTACCAATGTGTCAAGTTTTAGAAAACCGTTTTCAATGTAATATTTTTATTATAGACTATCGAGGTTATGGTCAGAGTACCGGAAAGCCAAGTGAAGAGGGTTTATATGCAGATTGTACGTGTGCTCTTAATTATTTATACATGAGAAGTGATCTGAACAATGAAAAAATATTTGTACTTGGTCGATCATTGGGAGGAGCGTTAGGTATTTATTTGGCAGTGAATCCTATATCAAGTGACAAAATATGTGGTGTTATTATTGAAAATACGTTTACATCTATCACTGATGCTGCAAGTTATATCCTCAATATACCCTGTAAATTGCCCTCTTGGTTGTTCTCAAATCAATATACCTCCTTGGCTAGACTTCAAAGTTGTAGCAAATCTAGAAAGAAATCCTCAGCTTTCCCACCTCTTTTGCTTATCTCAGGTGAGTTGGATAATATTATTCCACCAAAAATGATGTGGAAGCTTGCTGAAGCTTATGAAAATATAGTGACAAAACAGCATATTCGAAATGAGTGTAGTTCGAGCGTAATGTACGACGACTCCACAAAGCTTAACTCGCTTTCCCAAAACCCAGTTACCTTCATTAATTCTGGGAGAGATGGTCTTGTGAGTTTTCCGGATGGTCATCATAATGATACTTGGCTTTGTAACAAGTGGTCGGACGTTATTTTACGTTTTGTCGAGCAATCCAGCGTACATATCAGAAATACTGTCAACGAAATTGATCTCAATGTATCTGTTTGATCACTTTGTCCTTTATTTTCTTCCTGTAAATTTTTATACATTTTGCATTAATTATTTTGAACAGTTTTTATAGCTTGATTTCGTGGGAACGTTTATAGTTCAACTACCCTTTCTCTAGATTATGAAGCATAAATATCAGGTTGAATAACGTTTTCACTTTCCACTCTTTTAGACCCGAGTGTGTTACGGTCCCAGTTAGTGTTCACAGGCTTAACTAATTTCAGTTCTGTTAAATGTTGACATACGAATTCTGTAAAACGTTTCTATCTCGTGCTTAGTATCACGGTGTAGTCTTCCAATTTCAGTGTATGTATTACTTAAAATACTTCTACTCATTTCATGTTGTAAGTTTGAAGTAAATCATGTTTGCGTGGGATTTTTATGTTTCCAGAGCTATAAATGAACACTCACCTTGAGAGTAACTCTTAATTTTGGCCTATGCTGGAAAATGGGAATCGTTGTTACAAATAATTTAGGCGATATTCATTGGTGTCGGTTATGATTAATTGATTTTCACCATTGGTAAACTGCTATCTAAGTGGTGTTCGCTATCTACCATGAGGAACCTCAGGTGATTGTACATAAACTACGCAGCCACAAATATCAGTACGGTTATAAAAATGGTTCACCTCGCTTCTATTGGCAGACTGATAAAACAACCATTGGACCTTCATTTATACTGGTCCTCATTATCAGTAACTTTAAATCATTAATTGTAGAACAACTGTCAAGCTAGATGTAATAGTCGAGTAAAGTTCGCCAGGGAGATGCCTCTCGACAAACAATCTATCGGTTAGTTTGGTTAGTGTTTGGGAGGTGATTATTAATTTGCTACATCCATGTTTTGATTGCAGTATGCAGAAAGTATGATACTTACTCAAATTGAATTTTTTAAGCTATGAACGATCACTGCGATCTTTACTGATGTACTTCTCCGAAGCGTGGCGCTGACATTGCTCTTGAAATTTCTATTGTTTGGTATTTCGCGAGTTTTTTTTAATGAAGTGATGTTTGGTCAACTTGCCTACGTTCAAATTTTCGATGAAGTATATACTTTTCAGAAGCACGTAGGATAAATATATTTTCACTGAAACTATATTATCCTTAAAAATATTTCTTAGCTAGTGGCCTGACGAATCAAATTTCTGACACTTCGAACCTGAAGTACCCAATGTTATAGTAAAATATTATTGCTATTTTACTCAAACCAGTCATTGGTAGGACTACAATATACAGAACTTGATCCAATAACTCCAATTATTATCCAGAAATTTGGAATAGTATTGATTACCATTCTTAAATTCACCTCAGAAACAGTCTATTTTGAGTTCTAGGGAGGAACGGTTTTGGGATGCACGAATTCGGCATATATGTCAGATGCACACCAGCACCTGCTTGAATTTATAACTAAATAACAATGTATGCTAAAGCATAGAAAAGTTTCACTGGATTCTTATTGGAGTACCACACTTCGATATTGAAACTTTGAGAATCAGTATATACATTGCCAGTTTACTTATTAAATAATCGGCATATTATATCCTTGTGTTCTCATTTTTATCGAGTTCTTCGTTGAAAATTGCTGAAAATATCTTATTATTCTCTGGTCGATACTTCCTAGTAAAAAAATCCACTGCCGTTTCGAAAATGAGTAGTTCAATGCTTGTATTTTAATTTGCAGAGGATTGCAAGATCGGGATGGGTTATTAAAGAACTATTAGTGTGCCAAACATGTTACAGTACCGCTGAAACGTTATAGGACTATTTACTGAGTGAAATATTCAAACTGTTGTTAAATGACATGTTTTATTGATGGATATGGATTACGATGCATGAAAATTGACTGTACAAGAGTTAGTCCTTTTGTGGAGGCGAAACTAGGATAACACCATCTCCGCGAATAAACAGCATGGGTATTGTGCGTTTTGTAGTCTATAATGAAGGGTATTTTGTTAGAGGTCAAGATAGATTACCTTGTAAACTTCTTCATACGTTTCCTCATCTATCTCCAATGTTGTTACAGTTTCTTCAACATTCCCCAGAATCATGTTCAAATGTGAGTCGAAAGCCTGTTTAAGTTAAAACACATTAAACTGTTTACATCTGGGGAACTGTTTCAATATACTATACTTGTGTAATGGCTTATGACTCGTATTATAACTGACTTATGAAATACTGAACCTATCATTATTACCACTTGACGCTATCTCTAATGGAATCTACGCTTAAAAGATCACGTGCAAAAACAAAAATGTCACTTATATAATAAAGAAGGATAAACAAATTTATATACCGTGCATTGACTATGAATGCAGTTGTTTCCGGATTTACCACAGTGTCAGGTCACTTCATGGAAGACACAGTATTGTCATCCAAACCTGAAGAGCGATATATGTAAACTAAATACAGATCAACTACACACCAATTTCATGTTGCTTAGTCTAGCAATAATAATAGACAAGCTAAGTGTAACTACCTGTCAATTATCTCTGTTTACAATTAACTGATAATCGCCAAAGGTGAAAAAAATAAAGGGTCGTTACCCAGCCATAATAAATGAAGCATAGTAGTTTTTTGTTAAAACTTTTATGATGGCAGGCTGAGGAAACAAATTCTTTCGGTTGGCTTTTATAACCCTTCATGGAGATTCTGTACACCTTTATCAATAACCACATTTTGTGTAGAAACATGCACTAGCATTGTCTTTGATGACAAACATTGTCTCAAATCTAACAGTAAGTAGAGATTGATAATAAAGTCACTACAAATTCGTGGAAAGCTTTCTTAGTATTTAACGCACTCCATTTTTGAACATTAAGTTGCAAGTTTGGAACCGGCCTTACTTCAGTATAAGTACCATCAATAGTCATACTATGAACAATGGCTTGATTCTGAGTACATGAATCTAAATGTAGGCGCACATAATTAATAACGAACAGAAGACATTATATTTCTCGGAAGACCATTTGATAAATCTTTAGAATCATAAAGAAACACTTCCTTAGGTAGATAATACCAAGCATTATATTGTACTTATGTCTAGCAGATGGTACATTTGACATATAAATTTAGGGTCAGTAGGGCTGAGAAATGTATATTTAAACAGCATACCAGTACTCCTAGACTTGAAGAAATAGGGTATCGAAAAAACAAAAAGGTGCACTTTTGGTGATGATGCTTATACAGATGAGTAACAAAACAAGTTGACCACCAGACACCATGTAAAATACATAGTTTTCACACTGGCTATATATCACTGAAGTTTCAGAACCAATTATTCTCACATGCCAATCCATACATTATTTAATTTGATGGCTTAGATTGTAGGTGACGTAGGATATTTATTGACCTAGGATCATCGGAGCAAAGTTCACGAGTAAATTGGAGTCGCGAAAAGACTATAGTGTGTGTATGAATATGAATGAAATGTAGAAAGAGACGAAGCAAATTAATATATTTTATAAATCGCAGTTTAAGAGAAATATATTGAGGGAATATTTGCCTTGAAATATAAGTGCATCCTAATTGGTGACCGACAATTTATTTACCTATTCAAACATGCAAAACATGTATGCGCCTCATCTCATCATTCGATTTGTGTGTAGGATGGAATAGCGCCTGAGCGTCCAAACCGAACCAAGTGGTTTTATTAGGGGGTCACTTCCTGAGCCTTTGACCTAAAGGTCTAATCAACAAGGTGGTGGAGCAACGTCAGAAGACGTAGTCTTATGGTAGCTGGTGGTCAACAGTAGGCGCATACGCCTTTTGTTCACTTAAGATACTATAGCCCATGTGCACCACTGATTTGGGACCAGGATTTTCCGACTCCCCCAGGTGTACCCTCTGCCTCCATCGACCCGGTCAAAGCACCGGACATTTGCTTTCCGTTCTCTCAACTTCGTAAACAGTGAGTAGGACTTCCCTGACAATGGCTATATACGTATGACCATGTGAGAGCGAACTCGACCATTAACCATACCAGGGCATTTGGGGGTCGACTGGATTAGAGTATAGTGCCTTGACCACTAAAATCGTAACCTTAAGCTTATTTGAATAAGGTCACCAATTAGTAAACTGCATAGTTTTGAAATACCATCGTGTGATTATTGACTACAAATAGTGCGTAACATATGTCGATTTAAATTTTGGCAAAAAAGCAATGATACATGAAGCATAGGACTGCCGAAGGATGAAAAGCCCAATTCTATGTTTACAAGACTTACGTGTATACAAAATAAATCTACAGAATAAACTGACTTGCGAAACCTAACGTGAGAAGCCATGACGGAGAAGAAACAAAGAACAAAACATATATTCAAGTAGAATGTTTACTAGTAAGTTTCAAATTAGTCGACCTTGTCAAGTACAATACGAACCATATGGGTAAACCGGGAAATGGACTAAGTGGGACCAGTATTATGGCTACTTTAAGATGGGTGTTAGTTACCGCCTGGGAAATATAGTACATTATTACAATGAAAGTAGATTGTTTAAAAGACCTTTGTGTACTGTATGGAATGTTTAAACAGGGATTATAAGACAACTTATGTCAGAAAACACGATTTGTATTATGGCGGCATAATATTTTTAGAACAAAATATCTGTTTCTAAAATAGACTTCCTCCAGAGAACAAAGACTTTAGGCCCAAAACATGAGTTTGTAGAATATAATCTAGAGACACGACTCACCAATATGTTTACACAAACCTAACATCGTAATGAAAATAATATTGAGTATGTTTAGAATCAAAATACTGAGTTACTAAACATAATTTTAACGAGAGACAACAGAGCTGTTTCAAGTTTTTCCGAAAACTAGGAAGTGCATGTGACATCTTGATCTAGAAGAAAGTTTGGATCGCGGATGTTATAGTTTTGTCATGACAGATATCACGCTGTGGTTTTTACACTAAGTCTAGTCACTGAATCAACAGGAGTTAAGTCTGTAATCCTCTAATCTAAGGGTTAAAAACTTGTAATTAACGTCTAAGTGTTCATACTCTCACAAGAGACCAAAATTAGGCAACAGGCTAAAGAAAGATATAGAGATACTCAATGATTGTAACATCTATCAAAGGGGTGTGTAATCAAACATTAACATACGTGTAAGACACCTCGCAATTCACGGTTACGTTTCATTTTAACGTATATTTTTTCATCCAAGCTTAGTCTAATAAGGTCCAATGGCTCTTCCACAAGCACGGGTTGTTCCACCTACTCAAAATTGTATGAAGACTTAAAAAAGAAGCACCTCTTCATCTTCCCGATTGTTACTGCCTTCCATGTCCTTGAATTGACTAATGCGCTTATTAAATATTATATGTCTTGAATATGTTTAGCAAATCTTAAACTATCTCATAGTTAAGTATATTAAATAAAAATGGCTTACAACATACTTCCCTGTCTATTAGTAACCGAACCACGCGCGCTATTTAAAAATGACAGTGGTATTTTTTCTCGCTGAGTAAATTTCATTGTTTTGATCATTTATTACGTATCAAGACTACTGTTTTCACTTTAATTGGATTCATTTCAGTTAAAGTATTCGAGTAGAGTACCGTTTTTTACCGTTCTCCAAATTAGTTTTGTCGTTGGTACTCTTGACTACCTCATTTTCAATTGTATCTGTTAGTACTTTTGATCCTAACAATCTACAGTTCTTCGCTTTTTGGTCATTGATTATTTTTTGTTTCTGAGTATCATCGCATCTCAACCCTTTTTGAAAAGGACTACTTTTAAATGACCGGACAGTGTAAAAAAAGCAGTTGCCATCGTCCGGGTTGTCGTTATCCCGTTGAAAGCACGCCTAGAAGCAAGGCTCCATCGGTTTCAAGCGGTGAACATAACCTGAACTCTCATGTCGTCGACAACCCTTCAGAATCCAACACAAGGTTTGGCGCAACTGTTGTTGATTCTCCCAGCACCGTTGACGAGTGGGTACAGATTGTAAGGAAGAAAAAATGTAGCGATATAAAAGGTAATCCAACCCCTGCGAAAGTAGTCGTAAAATCGAAAGCTGATCATAACGGCAGATCAGCTATTTTTCATAGAATCAAGGATAGCGAGAGCTCTGAACCTAAAGCTCGTTTTAGGCATGATATTGT